TAAAGTTATTCCCCCTCTCCATGGGGGCCCTGTTATTAATGAGTGGAGAATAGGTCCAGAGCTGTCTCTTCCTTTTTTTTTTTTTGTAATATTATTTTTATTACATTTTCTTGAAACACAAGACTGACACATGTACATACCGTGTCTGTAACAATACTTACTATGTACAGAAAAGAAAACAAACAAACAAACACTAGGGGCTCATATTACATAAAAAGTGTAAAGCACAAAACCAACAAAGGGTTAATACAGTCTGTACTTTGGAAGTTAGATTTAATAATCCTTTGCAACCAATAACAACCGCCGTTGTAAGGGGTTAATATAATGCAAATTTAAATATATTTAAATACCCAATCAAGAATTTTGATCCTCTATTATATTGTTAATATCCCTACATTCAATAAATAATAAAAATGGACTCCAGATTTTCTTAAATTTAGCTTGTTTACCCTTAAGCATATTTCAGATTTAGTTAAGTATTCTGGTGGAGTGTAAATTAAATTTGTGGGTACTGTGTCAAAATGCTATTCAATTAAATGTCAAAGTATGTAGAGCGGGTCTTCACCTTTTAAATAAAAAATAAACTTTTTCTTAGCTTTTGAAATTTATAGATGAAATTCGATGCACGAACAACAAGGAGATAGATCTTAATAACTGGGTAAATATGGAATCATATTGACAGTATAATTTAAATGGTAAGGATCATTGTATGATTTTTACCTTATAAATGAATCTGAGTAACAATTCAATTAGTTAGCTTCTTTTTTTTCTTCAAAATATTACTTCATTGGTACTTTGCAGGGGTGTGATGTACACGAGTAAGGCTGATGATACATGGGGCAACTTTTTTTGAGCAATGTTGCTTGCACACTTTCTCATTGAGGATGGGTAACAAATTTCTATCTGGATACTTTAGATCGGTCGTGGGCCCTGTGTCTCACCTGGTTTCCCGTTTATGGCAACATTGATCAAAGTTGCTTGGCAATATTGCTCAAAAAGTTGGCCAGTGTATCCTCTGCCTGATCCTTGCAAACAGTGTATTCTTTCTCTCTCATCCTGAATCGTTTTTATATTAAATTCTGAATTCTACTATTGAGAAAGTAGCTCAAATTATACAATCTTCCAAAAAAGGGGAGGTGTCATTGGTTTGGCTGATGATTGCTGAAGTCATTCCAGTGTGGGATTTAGAGGATTCAAACCAAACTGTTGCCAAATAGATTGAGTTATATCATAGATTGAATATTTGATAATCTTTCTCTGAGTTAGAAATCTACCTCTTAGAAATTAACTTCAGGCTCTGAGAGCTTATTGAAAAGAAGAAGCCAGCAATGTTTCCACTGAAAGCCACTATATGTGTTTAAACAGTTGCAAAAAGGAACCCACAGTATAATGCAATGTCTCGGGCCACTCATTTTTAGGTGAACAGTAACGTTGTGCTCATGGAAACTTGTTGAGAGAGATCAATTTTGAAAGGCTGTTTGTTTTTCACAGACCCTACTGGGCAAACTTGACGTAGCACCTGAGAGAACTACTGAGAAGGAATAATTAAGCAAAGAGTAAAGTCCTCAAGAGAAAATTTGACTGACTGTGTTAGGCATGAGGTAGTGCTGCATGCCACACAAAAGACCCATTCCTCTACTGCAGTGGTGCAACCTGCCTTAATGTCTGGCACCATTTATTAGGATCTTTAGACATCATTTTCCTGAGAGGGTTTGTAAGCAGAAATTATGACTCATTGGATTTCGTTATGTAGCTATGATGCACTGCACTCAGTGCCAACTGGAGAATGATCTCTGAATTAAATATCTGATAAATCACACAGTTAGAATTTATCCTAATGACTCAATCATTATATATAAAAATATAAAAATAGGAGCAGCATACCTTATTTATGCACCCGCTCTGACATATACACTAACCAAACTTAATATTATGTGTCACATGTGCATCATATCCAGAATTCTTCAAGTTATACAGAAATATGCAAACCATGCATATAAATGATCATTTCTGTGTTTTTATTCAGCAGGTCAGTGAGAACCAGAGAGTGGACCCTCTTGGATCATGGATGGATTTTGTGAAGAGACCTGTGGGCAACTTTCCCGGAAAATGCCGAAAGCGAAAACGACCACTGGTGTGGAAAATCTTTACAATCACATATTATCAAATGTCAAACTCATAATCGACAGTGAGACAGAGCTGAAAGTGTGGGAAGGAGAGGAATTTCATTCACCCAGAATGTACAGAACAATTCTTGTAAAACAAAAAATGTGGAATTTAAGAATGTCTTAACAAGTTAAAGGAATAGTTCATCCAAAAATGAAAATTTGATGAGAATTTACTGACCCTCAGACCATTCAAGATGTAGATTGTAGAGTTTGTTTCTTCATCAGAACAGATTTGGAGAAATTTAGCATTACATCACTTGCTCACCAATTTATCCTCTCCAGTGAATGAGTGCAGTCAGAATGAGAGTCCAAACAGCTGATAAAAACATCACATTATAATCCAGAAGTAATCCGCACGACTACAATCTATCAGAGAATGTCTTGTGGAGTGAAAAGCTGTGTATTTGTAAGAAACAAATCCAGGATTTTGAATTTAACTTTCTAACTGTCACTTTTGGCCAAAATACCAGTCCATAATCCACAATATCACTTCCTCCAATGAAAAGCCCTGTTGTCCTTTCACATCAAACACAGCCGACATATTTGTTTAAAACTCTTTTCAGTTGGAAATAGTACTTGATCTGTGCATATTTCTCTCCTGTTTCAGATGAGACAACTTTTTCCACTGAAGAAAGCAATATTATGGATAGAGGACTGTACAAGACATTTTGTGATGGATAATTAATTAAATATGTAGCTAGAGACACATGTGAAACTTTAGGTGCCAATACAAACTAACAAGCACAGTTGCGGATGTACTGCACTTCAACAAAGTTGATTGACTGAGATTGAACTTTTAATTTATCTCTACCAGAGAATTTGTAATATATTGCATAACACATGCCTTAATACATTTCAAGTTGTAACACATCATTACAAATAGTGAGATGCTCTTTTGAGCATTCAAAGAAATTTGAGTCTTGACTAAATTGATTTGAAATTATATAACAGTTATATATATTTTTTTGCCTATCAGCCCGGTCCCCCGGGACCTCCTGGACCTCCAGGGCCTCAGGGACCTCCAGGATCCCCTGGGGCAGAGGTCACTCAAGAGGTCCTGCTGCGAGAGTTCAAAGAAATGATCAAAGGTGAGGACCCACAACATATAAAAATGTCAGTGATGGATATTTTCTATTCATCATCAAGGGACTATTATGAAGATGAGCTGGACATTTTGAGAGATACATTGATGAGGTGTCTTTAACTGCATGCAGTGTTGTGTCTACTTTGATCTGCATTAACAGAGGCCACCGAGAGGCGAGCAGCAGTGGACAGGCCCAGCGAACCCAGTCAGCTGCCCACGGCTCTGATCACCCTAGAGAGTGTGTCCTCCTACAGGAGAATTGAGGAAGCCTTCCACTGCAAACTCAAAGGCCCTGTCGTTGTGGACAAAAAGACTCTGGCTGAACTGCAGAACTTTCAAACAGTAAGTGCAGACAGTAAATATATCTGTCTTTTATCAAAATGGAATATCCATCCATCCATCTTAATGGAAATATATCTGCCCTTTTAAGAAGTGGCATAAATACTAATAAACCTAATTGATCTTAACTTTATATTAAACAACAACAAAACATATCTTTGGTAATATATTTAATTCATTTATTTTTGCATAATACTTCTGACAAATGTATCTTTAATTACACATTGTCATATGAACAACAAATCTGTTTCTACACTGATTTAAATGTCATAGTTAATAGTTTAATTCACTAAAAGAAGTAGGGGTTGAACGACTTCTGATTTTTTAAAGTCGACTTTTATGTGATGAAAGTCGAGTCGAAGTCGACTAGTCGCTGATGACGTCATTAATGAACAAATAAGTCTGGAGCTGTGACAAACATGAATGCATTAGTGAGAGCGATTGCGTGTGTGAATTAATTCTACCTGGCAGCGTCTCTCTACTAGTAGTAAAGCTGTGGGATTTAGTTATTAAGAAATATATGCTTGAATTTTTTGTAACGAATCAGTCCACTGAAGGCGAGCGTAGTGAAGAACCCAAGTGCAGTTTATTTACAGGTGATCCAAACATCCAAACAATAATCCGAGACTTGACTTGACATGAACAGGCTTGACGAGGCATAAACAGACTAGACTCACCGACAGCGGGTTACAACATCAATACACGACCGAGACTATGGGAACATGATCAGGCACAGGAAAGGCCCTTGGAGCAGACTCGAGGATAGGAGAGGACTCTGAGACGTAAAGTCTCCCCATTACAGGAAGGGCAGCAGAGTGTGGCAGGACCTCTAAGACGG